TGGTCAAGCAGGACCTGCCTCTCATGAACCCGTGCTGGCTGGGCCGGATCCCCTGGTTGTCCCGCTCATGCCTTGTGAGCGCCCTCAAGATGAACCGCTCCATAATCTTCCCCGGCACCGAGGTCAGGCTGACAGGCCTGTAGTTCCCCGGATCCTCCTTCCGGCCCTTCTTGTAGATGGGCGTCACATTGGCAAGCCTCCAGTCGTCCGGGACCTCCCCCGTTAACCAGGACAAAGTAAGTTTTATCACCATGCAAGGGAATGGTGAGTCTGATGCTGATAGGATGCATATGGTTTTGGTACCTATATTTTCAAAGGCAAATGAGGAATGGAGGAGATGCAAAAGATAACAGTTATTTGGAGGCTACTAAAACTGGTAAGCAGCAGGAAACTAGTGGAACCAAGGACCAACAGTTTGAAGACAGACTAAATGGTTTATTAAAAAAATGAAACAAAGTTTTAACTGGGAGGATAATTAATGAGTAGGAACACAAAATTAAGGCAGATGGATGGTTGGCCTCTATGCTTTGAGATCTTCAAACCAGCTCAGGAAGATATGCTAAAGTCAAAACTGGGCACTGGATGACAAAGAGTCCTTTCTGTCCTCAGCCTGGAGGAACATTGCTGGCTGTACTCATATCTTTGGACAATGAGACAAGGAGAACGAGGTTCTCAATCTTCTTGCTCCATAACACCATGATTACTTTCTTTCTTCACCATGTCACCTCTTGTGTGGGGCACCCGCTTGCCACCGAGTTTAATGACATCTGCTATAATGTTGAGGAAGGTTCAGACTGCGGAAGAGCAGCTAAGCAATCAAATATCCCACTCCCAACCACAAAACAGCACTAAGAAATTCAGCTTAAGATGACACCTGCCCCCCATGAGCTGGTACCCCATAAACATGCTCACAAAAAGGGTGCAGAGGGTAGGCTGTGAACTCTCCACAGCTCACGGCAGCTCGGCACATTCCTGTTTTTTAAAATAAACCAAGCAACCGTGTTATTCTTCTGACTTGTGATTTCCTCATTATACGGATTTAATTTTTTATGCCTAACCATTAGCTGGATTCTACAAGGGAAAGGCACTGGCTGGTTACATTGCTAACCACAAGTGCGAATCTGCTGTGTGTGAAGGAGAGAGAGAGAGTCAGGCAGGGTGAACATGAGTATGCATTGAGCACCTGATGTTTTTTTCTGACACCGTTCCACATCATTAGTTGGAAGCTTGCTAGGCACCATACCCTTACATCTCTGTTCATCCTACCTACCCCACTTCTCTTTCAAAGTTTTTTCCTCTTCAGTACATGCAACTTTGAATTTTTAGAGCTGTTTAGCTGATTCTCGGCAGAAGAGACTGGGGCAAAGACTGTATGCATTTTTACACATTTATTTTATGGGAGATTACACAGCTGATTAACAGTTCAGAATAAAAAGTGTCCCATGTTACCTCCATTCTTGTCTACTGCTTTTGATCTATTCATGCCAAAACATTCTTACTAATGAAAGTCATCAGAAAATTGTCTAATAAGGTAATTTAGAAGACAGTTCACATTGAGCATATGATCAAAAGGCATTTAACTTGCTGTTCCTACCTCCTCTCCCCCAATAAATACATGGTTTACTGGCACTGCTACGCTTCAAAATGGCTTTGAACATCTGGGAGAAGGGCTGATCAGCTCCAGACAATCGCTGGACTCTAAGTAGACCCAGGAACAAAGGTCACGATAAATGAAATGACTGCTTTGGCTCCAAAATTGCCTCAATCTTCTCCAGACAAAGCATGATTGAAATGCATCTATCTGTGGATAGCATCTGGAGAACTCGAAATATGTTTTGATCAGAATCCGATTGGCCTCTTTCAAATGAAAATAATTTGAAGATGCCATGGAAAATTTTTAAAACCAATCACACTGTAAACTTCGGCCTAATGTTTCCTTCTGCAGCATTGACCTTGTTTTTCTACAGTGTGAAAAAAAATCAATAGAATAATGGTACTGCAGTAAAATTTCAGCTTGCTCTTGGCTTACTTTAAATAACTTTATTGTCTCCTTTCCCTCTGTCTGCGTCTGCTGTATTTGGCGCTTGCAGTTATTAAAATGAAACCAAGTTGAAAGAAAATGTTAAATATCACAAAAAGAAAACCAGCAGTGCTTCTGGCTTACTTTGCTAATGCTGTGGTCACCTTTACAATTTGCCAGGGTTTTCTACTCCCCAGCTGTTCTACCTGAATTTGCATGCAGAAAGAAACCCCAACTTTGGAATAACAACTTGTACTTTGCAAATTTAAAAGAACTAGATGTTTAGAAAAACAAGGAAAAGCCACCCTCTTCCCTCCAATTATATATTAGAACAAAAAAGCCCAATAGTTCACCAGTGATTTCAATTCTTTGCTGCTTAACATTTTCTTACTCCTTAGCATGCATTTCTGCACAAATGAGAGAGCCTGGTTATAGCAGTCCCACTGTTACACTCCAATCTGCACTAAGAACGAGGCTTTGAAAACCTTATAGGAAAGTACCAACTAAAGAGAAGTAAAAACACCATTCAGCCAAAATTATGCCCTTTGGTCACTTTCCACTCCCTCTGGATGAAAACCACATCCACTTGTTGTCAACCACAGCTCTGCCTTGGTCAACAGACAAGAAGAGCATTCCCAAAAGCAAAAGTGGGAACCACACGTTCCAGGGAAAGCAACAGAAAGCCCAAAGGTAGGCAGTGCTGAAAGGAAAGAAGCATTTGCTCTGCTTGGGCCTCTCAGGAGTGTGGGAACCCTCAGTCTTGGAGCAAGAACGACCTACTCTAGTGTATGCACAACACACAAAAGAATAAAAAAGACCTAGACTGCCCGTAGAAATTTTTTCTTCCTCCTCTTGGCTATACCATGAACACAGATTTTGCAGAGACAGATGAAGCTCCATCTCTAACATCTCTTCAACACATCAACCCCAGAAAAAAAAGCTAAATTCTTACTTTGGTAGTTGAAGCTGGAGACGAGTTGGCCACCAGGCTCGTGATCACATCGCTGTTGACAGTGGTGCAAGCGGCGGGGGGGGCCGAGACGGGACGATGGGCAGGGGCAGCAGCCCGGGGCGGTTGTTGCTGTTGGTGCTCACAGCGCTGCTGCAGTTAGTGCTGCTGACGTGATTGCCGTTGGAGCTCCAATCCCGGCGATCCCACCCAGCCCGATAATCTCTTTCAAACCGGCTGTGGTGCCGTGACATCTCGATGGAGGGCAGCTTCTTCTCAAAAGGAACTCGAGAGCTTGCCTGAAAGATTAAAACAAAAGAGGTGTTAGGAATAAGGTCCCAGCACAGCAATTGTACTCTGTAATCACCAGGGCAAGTCCCTGCCATGCCTCCTCTGCTTTAGGAGAACACTGTTTCCCCCCTTTTCCCAGCTAAACGTCAGGAGGAAGAGAGTGATGCTGTAGTAAATGTTAATCTAGAACAGAAATGAGAGAGTATGAACAGCTACAAGCATGCAGTGGAGGGACCAATCCCTCAGACCTGAGGAAACACCATCTGCCCAAACTCTCCAGCAGAATAACAAGCAACAGCACACAAATCATGAAAAGCCGAGTTAGAAGAAAATCATCATTCAAATCTTCTGATAGCAGGAGAATGTTTCCAACAGCTCTGTCTTGCAGTTTTCTCAGTAGCCTTCAGATCATTTCTGCAGCTCTTTTCTGCACCTGATGCGTGACCAAATATTAATCCTAAAGATCAGAGGGAGAAAAATCTACCTGCTAAGTCTATCCGTTACTTCTCTATTTTCAAAGCCAAATATTGCTTTACGCAGCCCCCTCCCCTTTGCTAGACCTCCTTACTGGAAGCTCCTACAGGAACGCTTCACCCTGTGACGCCTGAGCTCTCCGCAGTGTGGCTGCTCTGCAGGGCAGGCCAACATATCCTGTCTCCTCCCGTGCTTCTGGCTAGACTTAAAACACTTAACATACCTAAGATGATCAAATGACCAAGTCGCTTTGTGTGATCATCCCGTCCTTATCATTACTTACCTCCTCAGTCTTTGTTATCCATACATTTTATCTGCCAGGAGCAAGATGGACAAACACAACGCTGGGAGTTGAGACTCCCAACATCTAATTCTAGTTCTGATAATTATATGTTCCGTAGCCTAGAACAGTTACTTAAGTCTTCCTGCCAAGGTCTCCTAACCTGCAGAATGGTGGCAATAATGCTATTTTCCCAGCAGAGTTCAGAGTAAGTGAAACTTTACAGCATTTGGAATTGAAGAACAGTATAAATAAATGCTAAATATATTTATTCCCATAAATAAATAATGAGTATCTAGGTCACTGCAGCATCTGATTTATTTTATTTGCATCACACGATCCAGTAAGTTCTTTGTAATAATAACATCAGGTCAGTTGAAGCAATTTTGTTTCACAAATTCTTAGATACAAAAATGGACAGTAAAAACATCTGCTTATAATGGCTGAGGAGGGAGCTGGAACCAAACTCACCCAGAAACTTAAAGATAAAAAACTACTTAAGAGAGATATAACTTAGAAGGGGTATAAAACAGTGCGCCTATCAACAATGTTAGTTATTCACCTGGTCAAAATGAAAAAAAAAAAAAAAACCCGACTATTATGACTAAGTAATTAAAGGTTCACCTGGTTCACCAGAGAGCTACTAGCCTGAGATGAAGAAAACTCTTCCTCAGTTAAAAATTCAATAATAAAATGTGTATTAAAAAAATATTCCCTCCCACAATCATTATCTTCAACAAAAGGCTGAATCAAATCTCCCAAGAAGCTGCATTTGCGATGGTTATGTTGCCCCTCTGCAGGAGTGAGCACCTCCAGCGAGAGCGTACACTGGGGACCACACAGCAATGTTGTAGATGCTGACCACAAAATTAACATTCCTCTTAATACAACAGAGCCAGCCATTTTTTCTCCGGTAGGATTTGATGCAAGATTTGACTTGATGATTTGAGGGTTGATGATTCACTAATATTTACTTAGATTCTTCTTTCTTATATTTTTGTGGCCATCTGATACTTTAATTCAGAAAGCTCATTTCATATTTTCCAGAGGACTGTGTGGAAATGACAGCTATACACTGAACCCGGCAAAAACCAGAGACACAAGTGCTGTGAAAGACGCTGTAGTGGAAACAGAAACTTTTGTTTTAGTAAAGGTGAAGAATGAAAGTTTTTCCTCTAGTGGCAACCATCTCAGAATAAAATCAGTACCTAAAGATAGTGTCTTTAAAGGTTAGAAATTCCACAGGTATAAACGCCCTTCCTTTTGTTTTATAAACCTTTTGCAAAGCCAGGCAAAAAGGGAGACTGTAAACTGCAAGCTACAATTTCAAAATATCCTTTATTATTCCTTGCCTTTGGAAAAGTTCCCTTTTACATCTGCACGGTCTCCACCACTGTATGAAGGTATCTTTTTTGACTGTTTGGATGGTGGCTGTCAATTGAATGCCCTTCTCCATCCAAGCTCAAGGATCTCCACTAGCTGTATTAGTGTACTTCCTGACAAGGCAACTAGAGAGAACCAAATCACATATCCCCCACCCACACACACTTGAGCATATCTGACATTTAATTCAGTGGAGAGCAGAGGCACACACGCATATAAGTCAATAGCTAGCAGTTTTTGCCACATGATCCAAGACACCATGCCCCCAGCAATTCTACTATCAGATGAGACTGACAGGCAATTACATCAATAACAAGCAGGAAAAAAGCCCGCAACTAAGCCACACATTAAGAAGTTTACTTAAAACCCACCACCCTCTTCACGAGCAAATTCATTTTGTCCAGCTACTGTATTTCATGGTGTTTCCAATAAAAATTAAAAGCCAGGGCTGAATGTCACATTTTTTTCTATGCTATACACTGCTTGTTTCAACATGTCATTTTTGGCTGGGTACAAAGACATTTGACAGCAACTAGATGTGCAGAAAAAACGGAGGGGATAACTATCTAATAAATGAGTATTCAACTGCTAGTGCTTACTATTAATTGTTTAAAATTAGAAACAATAGAAAATGCTCTCATAAATAGCTGCTGGGTGAGGTAAGAAATGGTTTGTGAACAGGCTAGCTAATTTTTAAATATATTTTTGGATCCAGAGTTTATGCTTCGTCTAGACTATTTTTGTCAAGGATCATAATCATAATAATAATGCTTTAAACATATTTTGTACTCATAAGAAAAACTTCTCCAACAAAGCGTGTCCCAAGCCAAGCATAATCATCACATTCCCCTGCACAGAACTTGACACAGGGCAGCATAAACCATCTTGAGAAATGGCAGTGACGGAGGCCAGTGGAAACCACACACAGACAGCAAGGAGGACAGCAGTCACTGTAATCAAAGATGTATGAGCATTTTCATCCTAACCCAGTCGTTACCGGTTCCAAAATACCCAATTTTAGGCTAAAATTTTCCAGACATGGATTCTTTTGGATTTAATTTTTTTTTAAGACTAAACAAAAAAAACACCCTTTCTGTTGGGGAGACAGGGAAAAGGAGAAAGATCAATACCTAATACTTACCAATACCAATATCAATAGGTACAAATAATTCATATGTTTTCCCTTTTTAAGGGAAGTTTTCCTCAACATTCATATGCACGCATTTTTCTCTTAAATAGCTTCAGGTCCCTCTAAACAGAACTAAGGAAGAGAAAGAAGGTTTTTACCTTGTTTTTCAGACTTGGGGAACCCCCAGTGCTGTCTGCACTGAAGTCACTGCCCCAGCTTAGCCTTGGCTAATTATAGATCTATCAACCTCAGTTTTGGGGCCGATTTTTCAGCTAGCACAAAGCTCCCTGCTGCCACGTCTAGAAGTCAGGTTCTCAAGCAGATAAGCCTAAAGCTATCTCAGATACATCTACCCTACATCAGAGCCATAAAGCCGCAATGTAGACATAGCCGGCAACAGAAAGAACGTATGATTTGCGTTATCTCAGAATAGAAGTCCATGAGGAGGCATACTGCATGCTGTTACTGCTGCAAATCACTCTGTACAGCTAATTCAGCTGACATACTGTCTTGTGAAGGTGGTAAAGTCAATGAGACAGTCCTTCCCTCACTCTCTACTCAAGACATAATCACTGGAGTAGCCGGGTGTCTTTAATCTCGAGTAGAAAGGAAATGTGTGTTCCTGTTTGTCACATAGAATCAAAGGATTTTATTGTGCAGCCAAAAGGAACAAAAATGCTCTTCGAGGGGAAAAAAAAAAACCCACCCTACTAAAGAGAGAGAATGGAAGAGAGAGAAACCCATAGTTGTCACTGGATGAACTGATAAATTCAAAGCAAAAAGGAGATCAGATTGGTATTAACGGAGAGCTGTGGAAAAGGCCATAAGCTAAAGAAGAGAGATCGAGCAACCAGAGGAAAATAAAAATCCCATGACAAAACTGAAACGAGATTTAGTGATATGGCAAAGCAAACAAAATGCCTATCTCAGTCCCCAGAGACTACATCGCTGTGTATGCGTTGCAAAAATCATGCTAAAACATAGACAGCCCTCTGGGTTTCAGAGAAGTGTTATGCAAAGTACTCTGGAGCCAGGCATGAGGATTATACATGCACCCGACCCCTTCCTCCATAATTTACTTTCACAGCAAGACGGGCTTGGGAGGGTAGGACAGGGAAGAGTAACAGAGTAATGAAACAATACTGAATGCCCTTCTGAGGAATGTGACAGGTATGTCTCCTAGCCCTCCAAGGCCAAAATAGGCAATGCAGCAGGTGAGAAAGACCATAAAAAGAAATTACTTTAAATCTATCACTCTTGAGGGAAAGTAAAATGTGAGAGTACCCCTGCTAGAGAAAATAACTTTTTCTACGACGAGGAGTTTTAGACATGTCTCATATAAACAGCTTGCTCAACAATAAAATTTGAGAAAGTTTTTCTGCAAAACATGAGCATCTTTGGGACTAAAATGTGGGGCACCTACACAGATGACTACATCCAGCCTCCAAATTTACCCAAAACACTTTGGCCATTTGGAAATCCTCCTACCTTCTTAGTTTAAAACCACCTTCCTCCTGGTACTTGTTTTTCACCACATCTCTTATGCAAGCTCATTTGTTCCTTGTTTCCACAGCTTCCACACACATACACACAAGCAAGAAAAAGACCAGAGGCATTTGAGATAGCAGCGTGCTAACTATAGGCCTCTTACCAGGTTCAAACAGATCATTGCTGCAGATTTATTAAACTTAAGTGATTAACATTTCATTTTATGCTCAACACATTTAAACACAGCCCTTCTT